CCTTTTTATATTTTATTTAGAGACATTCTCTCACTAAGTTGCTTAGAGTCTTGATAAATTGCTAATGCTGGTCTTTGAACCCTTGATCCTCCTGCCTCAGCCTCCCAAGGCTTTAAAGGCATGCACCAGCATACCAGATGTGAAGCTTAATTACAGTTACCTTCTTTTATGAGAGGTAGAACCATAGAGACTCAGAAAAAAATCACCCCATAATAGTATATAGGAAGTACCCTATAAAATTACTAAAACTTGAGTATGTACCCTAACTCCCCTACTTTGCCCTGGCATGAGATTTTGTTTCACTTACCTTTGATGCACCCAACACTAATCATAACTTTAATCCGTGAATGGTGACACTCTACACACACACACACACACACACACGCCCCTACCTTCCCTGTTCAAACTTATTTAATCTCAGGCTACACAGAAACAAGCAAGCTAGATGACAGACTCTGGGAGGCCAAGGCCCAGGTCTGTGCTGTATCCCAGAATATTGAACAGTACCTGATACCTAGTAGGACCTCAACATCTCTCTGTTCAGTGTATATATGACCAGAAATACCTGTCTGACTTCCCTGTAGAGCACTGTGTTCAGTAGGATGCACCATTTAAAAGTGAGATTTCCTGGGGCTGGGGCCGGGGCTCAGCAGTAGAGCACTCGCCTAGCACACAGGAGGCTCTGGGTTCCATCCTCAGCACCAGATAAAAATAAATAAATAAAATAAAGCTATTGTGTCCAACTACAACTGAAAGAAGAAATATTTATTTTAAAAAGTGAGATTTCCAATCCATGAAACTACAAAAGGCCTGAAGGCTGACAGCTCGGGAAAACGTCCTATAAGAAAAAAGGTTTGCAGCTTCACAGATATGATGGTTTATTAGTGTCCCTCAAAAGTTCCTGTGTGAGACAGTGCAAGTTATGAGAGCCTTAACCTAATTAGTGCATTGAACCCCTGGTAGGGATTAACTGGGTGGTAATGTAGGCAGTAGGGTGTGGTTGGAGGAGGAAGGTCTCTAGGGACTGCCATTGGGGTTTCTTATTCTGTCCTGGTGAGGGGAGCTCTCTCTCTGCTTCCAAGGTGTCCTGTCCTGAGCTGCTTCCCTACTCCACACTCTTCTGCAGTGATGTTCTCAACCCTGATGAGTTGTTCAAAAATCAACTCAAATAGGCTATTGGTGGCTTCCCTTATCTTTGGTCTGTGTATCTTGCTCAAGCAGTTGGTTACTAAATGCAGCTGTCCCCAAAAAGAGATCATCTCCTCTCAGCTGCATCCTGGGTAATGATCAGGAAAAACAGTTTGGCAGTTTCTTAATAAAATCAAACACACACCCATCACAGAACCCAGCAAATCTCACTCCTAGCTATTTATCCTAGAGAAATAAGAACTTAGGCTCACACAAAAGCCTGTACATGAATGTTTAGATGGCTGTCTTCATAATCACCCCAAACTGAAACAAATTCAAAAGTCCCTAAACTGTTGAATTGTGGGGAGCTACTCTGAATGATTCACACCTTCCATCCTGGAGCGGAAAGACTTTGACCGGTCACTACATCTTGTAGTGATGTGGACATTGCTCCGGTCCAGGAAGTTTGAGGGCGTGTCTTCAGACACAGGCGTGTAGCCCCATGGGTTGAGCTACATTCACCTATTCCTTTGTAATATTAACCCTTTGCCCTGTTTGGGATAGAATGTTCCATGGAAATGATTCTTTGTGTGTCCCCTTCTCTTGCTCAGCCTTTGGGTGTGGCCTTCCTAGATGTCAGTCAATCTGCTGACAGCAGACATCATGAAGCTAGACTCCACCTCCTGAAACCTGACCTCTTGCCTCATTTGAATGGCTTCTCCTTAGTAAAAGGGTTCAGCTCGTGCTCCCTCTCTCTCCCTCTCTCTCTCTCTCTCTCTCTCTCTCTCTCTCTCTCTCTCTCTTTCTGTGGACCCTTAAGGTCTGAGGAGCCGTCACAGGACCCCGAAGAAAAAGGTATCTCTGTCTCTTGTGTGGTTATTTCGTGCAGCCCAGTTCCCCTGGAGTGACCCTGAGTGTTTTAGTTGTGAGGAACATGACATTGAATGGATAAACAAATTGTGATGCATTCATACAATGACTAGTAGGCAGCAATAAAAAAGAACAAATTACTGATGGTAACATCTTGGATGAATCGAAAGGCATTATTCTGAGTGAAAGAACCCAGTCTCAAAAATTTACATGCTGTTTTCCTTTATAAGATGTCTGTTCAAAACTATCATAATGAAGAATAAATCATATTTGCCAGGGATTAGGCAGGGGACAGGAGTGTGGCTACCATGGCCTAGGGTGGAGGAGTTTAGGCAATAACAACTTTCTCAATGTACACTGAAATTCAAAGAACTGTAAGCCAAAAGGAAAGTTCATCTCATGGTAGGTCAACTGAAAAACAAAGGTGAGGAGGACTATAGCTTTCAAAAATGTTAATTTTATAAAAGACCTAGGAAGGCTGTGGAAATGTCCAAATAAAAGAGCCTGAAGAGACATGACTAATGCAATACACAAAACCCACAGTGAAGGGGAAGAAATGACAGAATATCCTATGTATTAATAGATAGAAAAATATCCCTGAAGTTTCAGTTCTAACCTTTCTCAAAACCTGGAAAATGTTGATTAGTGCTCTTGAGTTCTATTCCTATTATCTTTATATATATATATATATATTTTTTTCGTTGTAGATGAACACAATATCTTATTTAATTTTTATGTGGTGTTGAGGATCAAACCCAGGGCCTCGAATGTGCTAAGTGAGCGCTCTACCGCTGAGCCACAAGCCCAGCCCCCTATTATCTTTTTCTACAGTAATTAATTGATTCAATTAAGTGTCCGTGTTTACAAATAATATGTCCTGTTACATAAAAGGCAATGTATTTGTGGACATAAGACAGGAGAAATTCCTCTTTTCCTTTAAGACCATTGAATATTGGTGCCAAACCATTTATCCACTCTTCTTTAATACTATTTACTGTCATAAACATATGATAAAATTTTGATATCTCTTAGGAGTTAGTTTTCTAAATAATTGTTTGAGATTATTTTTCTAGTCCCATAGATAAGTGACTTATTGGATGCACCACATAATAGCAAGCCTTATGAACATTTTTTCAAACTGTCTCACTATTGAGAGATCATTGTTTTGCAACTTGGAAAACTCTTCTTCCCAAAACATTTTGTACATGGAAACAAATAACAGCAAATCCCAATGCTAACTGGCTTACTTACCAAAAGGAATTTATTGACTCACTGATCATAGATGTATCAGGACTCTACCTTCATGCCTCTGTGGTGGCTTGGGCCTACCTTATTTCTCTTAGCAATTTTGTCCTCAGACTGCATTCTACCATGGTGGCAAATGTCTGCCACTGCAATCAGAGCTGCTGTGTTTCTTCAATCATATCCCAAGGGTGGGGGCATTATATCTAAATCAAAACATTAACCGAAGTCTTGAATCTCAGTGACTGTACACCTTAGAGCATGTATTATCCCCGAACCAACCACAGCCACTACACACTGAAGAAGAGAAATAAAACACAATATTAGGGAGGGCGCCATCATATCTGCAGTGACAATTCTTTCACTTACTTGACACTTCCTTTACTTAATACAATCAGCTACCATCTATTTGATCCATACCTTGTGCTGCCTCTTTGCATCCTTTTGGCCATTCCAAACAACAGGGAACTGAGTTATCCTTCCAGGTTACCTTAGTTAATGGGAGTGTATGGAAACAGTAATGGAGGTCAGGGTGACAGCAAACGCTTCAGCAGTTAAGCAGGAAGGCTTCTTGGAGGAAGGACATCAGGGCACAGCAGCTCTGGGGATTCCAAGGCCAATCTCACGGGGAGCCTGGGAAGCGAGGGTCCTTGGCTTTTTTTGGTGTGGTTTCTTTTCTTAGGTGCTTAGTCCCAACACCCTGGGAGAGTCTGTTTTCTACCACATCGCTGACTGCACAGGGCCACCACAGGGCAGTGCTACCCTGAGTGTCGTGTCTGCTTGAAGGAAGGTCCCACTTCCCAACCTGAGGCTGGGGCAGAACTCACAACATATGCCCAGGAAAGCCCTCCCTAGCAGCTGTCAGTCCAGGAGGACCTTGGAGGCGGTCCCTCAAAGCAAGGAGAGTGGCAGGCGCCTTCTAAGGAGCCCTGTCCTTCTGGGCAGCAGTCCCATTACCCTGGCTGAGGCCCATTTCCCACGAGAAAGCCCAGCATCCAGGGCCGCGTCCACTCGGTCCCACGGCCACGAGGGGCAGCCGCAGGCCTCACACCTAGGAAGTTGGGGACAGGTGAGGAGGCTAGTTAGTTGCTGACCCACCCTAGCTCACCAGCTGAGGTGACAGCGCGGCTAGCGGGGCGCCAAGGGCCCCGCCCTCAGCACGCTGAGGTTGACGCGGAAGCGAAGTGGAGCCGTCGCCAGGGAGACGGGGGCGGGGCCTATGCCAGGGCGGGAACTTGGAGCCGCGGTCGCGCACAGCTCCACGTGGGAGGAGCCCGGAAGTAGCGCCCTGGAGGCGGGACTGCAGGTCCGGGTCTGGCGGGTCCGGCTCCCGGGATCCAGGAGCGGAGAAGGTGAGCTGGCCAGGAGCGGCCCAGGTCTAGGCGCCCACACGAGGGTGGGACCCGGGAGGACGCTGCCGCCGCCTTGGAGCCTCGGTCCGGGCTGCCTGTGCCCTGGAGCCGCCCGGGCGGTCCCCACAGCGCCCACCGCCCGAGCCCGCTGTCCCCGTTCTCACCTGAGGGCTCTCCTCAGCGGAGCTGCTGTTCGCAGCTGGGTGGGGTTTGACTTGCAGGGTCCTGGTCAGGATGCGGGGGCCTCAGCAGAGTGGCCTGCGCCGCGGACCTCAGAGGAGAAGAGGTGGCCTGACCCGCAGGCCCCCTGGAGAGTGGGAGGGCGACTGAGGAGCCCAGTGTGACCTGGGGAGCAGGAGGCCGGTTTAAAAGAGAGACCCGCCCAGGTATTTCAGGTCTCACTGACTCTGTGTCCTTTTGTTTTCCTGTCGCACCTGTGAATTTTGTTTTAAGTCCTCGCTTTAAAAACCCTTTCCTGATTCCTTCTGTGTACCTGACCCATCATTTTAAATCATGTTCCAAGGTCACTTTTTGGTTTATGTGTGGTTCTGGGGATTGAACCCAGGTCCTTGAGCCTGTTAGGCAAGTGACCTACCTGAGCTACACCCTCAGAGACCCCTGTAATTTTTTCCCCCTTGGCCACAAGGTCTAATTGCCAAGGCTGACTTCAAAGGTTCCTCTTCCTCAGCCTCCCTGGTGGCTGGCATGACAGGCATGCACCTGGGACTGTCACACTCTAGCCTGTGATGGGAACTCATGTGCATCTGTCCAGGGCTGAGCATGGTTATGCAGAGCTGTGCTCCAGGCTCCCTGCAGGGCTGTGGAGGCTTCTGCTGCCCAGCAGCCCTGGTGCCATGGCCAGTGCTCCTCCCAGCCGAGGGCAGGCAGCTGCCCATTGCTGTAGGCTGACCTTATTTTCTTCTTTTTGTACATGTAACTTTATCTGGAGTATGTTGGATTGTTTTTCAATTATGAAACTAACAGGTCCTCTAGAACCTTCAAACAATTAGTACAATTCCTAAAGAGTAAGTGAGCATGCGCAGAAATTGGGCTAATGTTTTGGGAAGAATGATGTTAGATGATATTTTCATGGCTTGAGTATATCATCCAACATGAAGTTACATTTTATTACTTACAAAATAATAAAATAATGAAGCAATACCATGGACTGAGCCAAAATATATCCTCAGGATCTTAGGCATACTGTAATAAATCTGCATCACTTTGGGTCATTCCCCTCATATTTCCTTTGAGATATTTTCTATGTGAGGCTTAAGAAGAACAGAATATTCTATAAAGAAAACCTTGTGATCTGTGCAGTATAAAATTGAATGGGTTCATTCAGAAATCAGAAATTCTATTGAAAGGTATTTGCCTGAGCCAAATAAAACCTATTTCTAGGCGTCCTGGTGAAGACAAGCTTTTATCTTTATATGTCTCATTGTCTGTGGGTTTGTTGTTGTTGTTGTTAGAATGAAATTCATAAGTTGGCAAACCATTTTATCAGATGTGTAACTAGATGCCATTGAAATTATCCACTTTTAAATGGTAGACATTTTGTATATGAACACTGCCTGTCTGCACCTTTTTTAAAAATAGGTCTGGGCTCAGGAGCCCAAATACCAATGGTTATCTGGAACATATTCTTCAGTTTGGCCTATCCGCCAATATGCCCTGAGGTCATCTGTTCTATCATCTTCATTACCCCTGCTCCCTCACTAGCTTTCATAGAACCCACATGCTGTCTATGAGTCAGGGTCACCAATCCCACAACATTTCGTTTGAGTATCCAAAGTCCCACGTTTCACTTCGCCATGCCTGACATAGGCAGTAATATTTATCAGGAAATGTGAAATTTTCAAAGATCCAATTCTATGTGCTCCTTTCTCAAAGGGCATTAGGCAGGGATATAGCATACATAAATATTAAGTAAAGACCATAGTTTTAAAAAGTCATAGATACTTTTTATTTTGGAGGAGGTATGATTTAATAGGGAATTCCAACAGCTACGTAATAGTGAAATGGTAAGTCTTCCATCCATTTTATTTTATTGTTTCTGATGATTTTTATGAGTAAGGATAATATACTTCCTTGTTCCAATGCAGATGTTGCCCACTTCTGTGAATGGATGCACGGTGTCACCTGCTACTTGGATGTCTGCATGTTGTGCTTGACACTAATATCGTACTTGGTAGGTGGCAGAAAGTCAATACTGAAGTTAAGCTCTTGTGTTCTAGCAGCTGTGCTGAAGATCCTTGGTGTGCCACCTTCTGCAATCCATGTTGCTCTCTTCATGTTCCTTATTGACTTCCTGGTGATGAGCATCATGGTCTCCTGGTCTTTGAGAATGGCCAAGCATTGCTCTGTGAATGTGGAAGACAGTCATGTGGAAGGCTCCAGGGAGGAGGGATCATTGATCATGTACTCTAATCCATGTGCCTCTTTAATGACCTGTTTTTCTTCTTGGGTTTTAAGGGAGACAGTGCCCTCAAACACTTCTGTGCAGCTGGGAATGCAGGCTTCTGCTTCACCTTGAAGGAAGCATTAATGATTCCTTTCCAGAAGACATGAGAAGAGAGAAGTGAGCCTCTGGTATCATGCAGATTCCTTGCATTGCCCATGGGCTAGAAGAGAGAAGAGTTGCTTCATGAGATTTGATCCCCTTTTTCCTGAAAAGTTCCACACACAGGTGAGTTCCCAGCATGTTTAGACATCATTTCAGACATCTTTGTTGACAGAAATGAATCACACCCCCTGATGATGTGGAAGAGCTATAGATGGGTTTGCTATGAATTTTCTATTTCATTTCTCAGGGCCTGAGTCAAGCCAGCCATTGTGCTGTCAGCGCATGAGCTGCTGGTCAAATGTGAGGAAGTGGTCTTGCTTTATGAAAGCACCACCCTGATTCAGTGAGCCAGAGGCAGCCTGCAGTCCCTCAGTTTTCCTGTAAAGGCAGATTGCTGTGGATGGCCTCTGGCCTCGTCATGCAGCCCTGCTCAGAGTAGGGGATTGAGGGTCCAGGCAGATCCCTAGTTCCTTTTGACCTTTATTGCCATTGGGCTGCCCCAGGGTCCTTGGACTCTACCTGGTCTTCTGGCCTAGGTCAGGGGATGTGAGGTTTGGAATCCCTCTCTGTGGCAGGATCCCAGGCCCCCCAGCCATTTGAGGGCAGGCACAGCCTTCCCTAATTGTGTTAGAGGGGGAGACTTCTCCCACCCATCCTCATCCATGCTCATCCCACATTTTGTAGCTTGACACCTGAGGACCTTTATTCATTGACTTAGTGGTTAGTGATGATGGTTGCTAAGACTAAGTATCTCTTTCAAAGTCACATCACTTGCATGGTTGGGCTAGAGCATGGATCTTCGTAATTGATTTCATGGGACTCTCTCATGGAAACTGTGACTGCCTCCTAAACACACACTCTACATTTGGAGTGTCAAAATTCTTGGCACTGCCTCCTTGGCAAGTGTATCTTGTCTTCTACTTGGGAATTTCACAAATATTTTCGTTTGGTTTGTGGAGGTCATGCAGAAGGGATTTCATTTGAAATAGCCCAAACAAGAAATACCAGTTGTCTTTTTCACACATGGATGTGTGTAATGAACATCCCTTTCTGTGTGTTTGCATGAGTTGTTCCTTTGAATTTGTTGAAGAATGGTTAGCTGGGGAGCAAGGTAACGAGAGATGGATATCAATGGTTGTCAAGTATTCTGAAGTGAAGAATGTATTGAGGATGTGAAGGCTTTTCTAGCCAGTTCCTATGGCTCAGTCAGGGATCAGTCAGAGGATTCTGTCTGTTAGACTCTTTGGAACAGATGTCAAAGTGGCCTGGTCTTACCCTGTCCAGGACTGAATGCTGAGCTTGAGTGGGAGCTTCTTGTCATTTCAAGCATTTCCATGAGTCTGTCCTCTGTTCTCTTGTATCCAAGTGGTTTCTAACAGGAAAGCAGAACAAAAATTGAAAGTATGGTGATTGATTATTTATACCAATGTTATTTCAATCAACTTTGTATAATACGAAATTAACTTTCTGCTAGTAAGATTTCATATGTGAGGAAATAATGAAAATATTGGGGTTAGGGGATGAGAATATGCAAATCAAACATTTTTGAGCACCAAGACCCGTTTTTTGTTTTTGTTTTTTTAACTTAAATAATGAAGTGCCAGAAGACCACACCTGCCATTCAACCTCAACAACCTCCAGGTCCAGCCTCCAGGTGGCCCGTTTCACCAGGGTGTGTGGGACCACACTGTCCTGGGATGAGAGAGCAGTACCCACGAATGTTGGTACAGAGTAGATATTGCTAGAGACAGTGGGGAGGTAGTGGCACATGAGGAAGGGAAGAGCTCTCAGGATGGGAAGAGGGGGCCGCTTCGAGACTCGTTGGGCATGGCACGAGGCTGCTGGGTGTGGTGTTGGCCTGGGCCCACTGAGTGGGGCAGATCCATGCTCTGTGTCCCTCTACCCTCCTCTGTAGCCTGTGCTGGCAGCAGATCAGGGAATTGGGGTCAGAAGTGCTCCCAGTAACACAGGCACCAGCCCCCAGTGTGTGCCTAGCCCTTTCCCTACCTGGCCTGGCTTGGCGCTTGTTTTGACACAGGGCTGAGACCCTACAGTCTCTGATGAGTGTGTCTGGGGTCCAGATCCAACCTGCATGGCCAACATGCTCAGACCTTCAGCTGGGTCCTAGGCTGCTGCAACCAAACCCTGTCAATTGGGTGGCCCACAACAGAGGAAGTGTCTTCCGTTGAGCTCCAGAGGCTCAACACAGTAGGTGTTGGGCTGTCCCAGTGCCACAACACCTCCCAGGTTTCAAGGGGACTGTCCCCCCAACTCTGTCAGCCCTTGCCCACTCTCCTACTGCTGTCCATGATCTGTGGTTCCCATATGGGCATCCCGACCTGGCTCCAACCTCACATAGGCTGTATCCCCAAGTCTCCCTGGTCTCTGGGTCCAGACTCCCCTCTTCCTACAAGAATATAAGATATTAGATTTGGGCCCAGTTGATGCTGTGTTCCATCATGTGAGCTCTTAGCTTCATCACTGTACAAAGACTCTTTTTCCACGTAAGTGCGCACGACTTTTGGGTGGCTAAGAATTTTCAGGGGACACTTTTCTAATGAGTACACTTTCCTTTCTTCAGATCTCTCCCCACTGAGCCTTCTTCTCATCCTTGTCCTAGTTCCTTTATGGCAAGTTCCCTCCTTATGGCTGAGAGGACCTAGTGACCCCTGGATTCACACATTGTCTTTAATCACCAACACACTGCAGAATTCTCCATGGGACTGCGGTGTTTTGCATTGGAACCCACCCCCTGACCTCTAAAAGTGGTCTAGACAATTGGGTTGACTCCCTCCCTCCTGAACCTCTTTGATGCCCTTTAAAGTAAGTTATTCTTTTGGATTCCTTCCACAAGTAGGCAAGTCCTTGGATCCCCTGCTAGAAAGTCTTCCAGCCTGAAGGTCAGATGTGTCCAGATGTTGAGTTGAAGGATATCATCCTAGAAGCCCTCATCCTGGCTGCAGCGTTTCCTCCCCTCAATGCAAAGCAAGAAAGTGCAGTTGGCTCTGTACCCATTCTTCTGCATCCATGGTCCTCACCAGCTGGAAATCCAAACTATCAGGAAAGGAGTTGTGTCTCTCTGGACAGATACTTCTCTCCTCATTGTTTCCTGGATCTTACAGTGTTACAGAGAATGACACTGCCCTTTCATTGTATTAGGTGTCAGAAGTCATCTAGAGATAATGGAAGTGCTACAGGAAGAAGATATACAGCGTTTAGATGCAAATACTCTGGCATTTTTGTAAGAGACTTGAACCTGTGTGGACTGGTGTTTTGGGCAGACTTTGAACAAATCTCCCTTGAATTTCTTGTAACGTTTCTGGTTTCTGGACTTGGGAGTGTTCAGTGTGAGTCAGCCTCATGGGGATGTGATAGGAGGGCAGTCGGAGCTGTTGTGCAGAACCTCAGTGATGGCTTGTAAGGCCACATGCAACACTGCAAGCAGGAGCCGAGAAGGGAGCCCTCTCCCCATGTGTTCAGCTTAACTCTTGTCTTATCCAAAATCATGACTTGTGAAATGTTGCAGAAATGGACTCATGCCAAGAAGTTGGGATGTTCTGGGGAGCATGGGCTGTCATTCTATTTTGTCTCTGCATTATGATGTGTTAGCGGGTGGGAACTTGAAGATGTGCTTAGGCCATGGATTCTCCTTCCCTGGGAAAGGGCTTCTCAAAGCAGCCCTTGTCCCTGTTTCACCTGCTTCCCCAGGAGGACACAACAAGAACGTTCTTACAAGTTGGCCCCCAGTCTTGGTCTTCCAGCCTCCCAAGTTTGAGAAATAACATCTGTGCTATGAATTACCCAGTGTCTTGTATTCTGCCATCACAACACAAACTATGCTAAGATGAGTCAATCAGCAGTCTCCCAAGTGTTTACATTCTGGTAATTGACACCAAACATCCATTTTGTAATTAAACCATTTTGGAGTACACAGTTGAGTGGCATTAACCATGTTCATGTTGGTGTATAGGTGTCGCCACCCTGCATCTCCAGAACTCACGTGAACATACTCTTGCCATCAGTGCTGAATTCTAGTGCCCTTGAGGCCCAGGAAAAGAACATTGTACTTTATCTTTTTATGAACCTGATAATTGAGAATCTGAGATAAGTGAAATCCTACAAAATTTGCCTTTCTCTGGACACAATCATTTTCAAGGGATGCAGTTCACCCCCACTCGTAAGCATATCTGGTCCTCTGCCAACTCTGCGGGTATTTCAAATGCACTCTCAGTGACAGTGGTGACTGTGTGCACATGAGCTGTCTGTCCAGCTCAGATCCCAGGATCTAGGGTCTTTGGTTCCACGCAGCCTATAGGTTGCCTCCTCCTCCAAGTCTCTGCAGGCCATTGGCACAAAGGCCCTGGGCCTGGTGGTTTCTTTAGGTGAGTGCAATACGTGTCCACAGTGTCCTGGGTCATGATGGACTATAAATAGAAGCAATGCCTGGATACTCCTGGGATCTCAGTGGGCTCAGCCTGTGTGCTGAGAATTGTTGTGACCTCCTAATTAATGGGCCCCCAGAATCCCAGAGAAAAGGGCAAGTCCAGAGCCAGTGGAACCTCAGTGTCTCTGAGAGAACTTTTGGGGTGGGGGGCCAGGATACATTGATGTGATGACTCTGATGCAGAGTCACGTGCTTCGAATCCAGGTAGAGGTGCTCAGGAGCAGCCTGGGCTGGCACGTGGGTTCCCCACCTCCACACCTGTGGAACATCTCGGGGCTCTGAGAAGCACAGCAGCCTGACCACGTGAGGGCATCTGCTGTCTCTGCATACAGTGATCTGGGTTTTCTTCACGTCATCAGCTCCCACCTCTCTCTACCTGACAGAGCCATCCTGGCTCCCTCTGCACTCATTACATTGAAGATGAAAACCTGGAGGGTGGGACCTCCCGTCATCCAGAAGTTCCCAAACACATTCCACTGTGTCATTTATTCCTGGAACTCAAATGGTTGGGTTGGGCCACAAGCACCCTGGCATCCTTGTATGGGAACCATGGTAGTATAATCAAGAAACAGGAAGGAGAGGGGTTGGACTGATGTGTACAGATGGCAGGGCATAGTACAGAGTGGAATGGAGAGTTCTCACCCGGGGTGATTGTTGTGATATGCAGAAATGCTCTGCTGGTGCTGGGGTGCCCGCATGGTTTCCAGGGTCTTGAAAGGCTACAGATGCCCACAGAGTGTTCTCGGATGCACATGGTGGGAGGCCCATTGCCCACTACATACCTGTGGAAGAAGTAGGAGACCCCCTTAGTGTGGAGGTGCCATCTAGAAGGCAGCCTCACTTCTCTGAAAAACTTGATTGGAAAAAAAGGGTATGGACCTGTGCCCAAAGGGCCATATATGCTCCTGGAAGTTGGTGGTGGAAATAGTTCTCCATCCATTAATCACTCCCTCACTCACTAATGTCCTTGTGTCCTTGAGAAAGGCTCTCCCTTTCCTGGTTTTCCTGAATAGAAATCCTCTTGCATCTTGAGTGAATAGGGTTATGCATTGTGCAGAGGGTGTTGGTCCACTGAGCATCTTAGAGACTGTCCTTTATGGAGCCTAATGATCCTCATTGGGGAATGAGGCCAGGGTCCTAATTGTGGTTAGTGTGAGGACACCCTGGGTTAGCAGAGGGAAAGAAGGACAAGGGAAACTCAGATGTCCCTTCATGGCCCCTGGAGTTAGAGGACTTACCCCTTTGCACCTGGGATCAGGAGACCTCATTTCCTTGAGGACACGCACACTCAGGGGTAGGTCTTGAGTGTGGGGTCCTTACTGGGGTCCAGGGCTGTTGTTAGCCACCAGGAATGACAGTGCTCTCCATGCTCAGTGGAGCCATTTTTGCCAGGAAAGAGAGCCCATGGTCACGCCTTGTCCAAAGCATCCCACGCCAGGGGCTCCCATCCCTAGCACTCCTGTCCTGAAAGGAAGCCCCTCAGAGGCAAGGTGGGTCCAACCACCTCCCATGAGTTCACTCATCACTGTGTTCCAGCAGTCACCCCAGTTAACAGTCCTGATGGGATTGGATGTGGCTCAGAATGTCACCCTCATGAGCTCTACCCTGCTCCAGCTGCAGTTCTGCAGTGGGAGAAACACAAAACCTCAAAACACATGCACATGAATGAAAAGAGCAAGAGCCAGAGCCCAAACAGGCCAGGTGTGGCAAAGACAGCTGGAGTGCCTAGGTTGGGACTCAGAATTATGTCAGTGGGGTGGCATTGCTGCTGGCACCAGCATGATAACAGAGAGTCAGCCCTGCTCATTTTTGGGAGCAGTGTGTTGGGGAAGGCAGCAGAAATTGAGAGGTAGGATTGAGTTTGGCCCTAGGAGGAGGTTGGGTAAAAGGCCAGTGTGGATTGGAGTGCCTGGGCAGATAGAGATTGGATGCCTGGGCAGATAGAGAGAGGCCAGGGCACACCCCAAAGCCTGGAGACTGCAATTGATATTCAGCGTTGTGAAACACCATCTCCCCTCCTACTCACAACTGAGAGCAAGAGGCATTGATGAGTTCAGTTGGTGTGCAGCTGCATCCAAGTTGGCTCAGCTAGGCACCTCTGTTTCCTTGTCTCAGGAGGCTAGGAGTCTAGGCTCCACTGAGGCTCGGCTGGGAGGATCAGAGTCTGAGTTCATGCCTGTGTTCCTGGTAGGATCCATGTTGGCTAGCCTCAAGTGTTTTTGTAATGAGAGGATGGGTGACTGTCATGTCTTTATCACAGGACACACTTGCTAAATGAATTTGTTTGCTCTGAGGAGGAAAGAGAGAGAGGGGAATGGTGCTGGAGACAGGGATGCAGACAGGGGTCAATGACTTGGCATAACACAGTCTTGGAGATGATATCCCATCACCTGTACCCACTTCAATTCCCATGAATCCAGAGGCTGAGCCCCCTTGAGGTGAGGGGTGAACTGGTTCTGGGCAGCAGGATGCTCTGGTACCTCGGAGTCTCTGAGACCCCAACACTAGACACACTTGGCCCTTTTGAAATCTTAAGAGAAGCCTTAGGAAGTTGTATGGCAGAGGGGAGCAGCCACTGCACCTCAGTCGCCTCCAACTTGCCATGGTGCAGAGTGGGAACTGCACCTGTAAAGGTCAGGCGAGCGTCGGAGGAAGAGACCACCAAGAGACTGTCTCATGCAACAGCAAAGGGTTTATTAGGGGTCCAGCATGCTGGGGCTCAGAGCTCACTTGAATAGAGCAAAGAGCCCTGAGAACAGCTTAAGCAGAGCTTATATACTTTCCTTGGAGAGGGCAGGGAGGGAAGTTACATTCTGCAGTTTGGCAGTTGGGGACAGCCCATTCTGGGAACAAGATTAGCAAACAGTTCTTAAGATTTCAACAGTGTTTTGTTAAGCATACAGAAAAACGGAGTGACAAGTACCTATTTTATTAACCTTTCACACCCACGATGGGACGGACATTGGCCACGTCCCTGTGTGGGACACAGGCCTGATTGAGTTGGGGTGCATTCTTTGTCTCTCCCCTTCTTGTGATTGTCCCATCTCTACGTTTGTGCTTTAGCCACCTGTGAGTCCCATCTCTGGTTTCAGAGAGAATAGAGGGTGTTATGGGCCAATAGACACAATAACCCCTAGAGATTAGATGCTACCCTGCTTTCCAGAAAAGACTGGGCACACCATGAGTTGCACAATGATGGGACCAGGGTCCAAAAGCTGCTGAGAGGGAAGGACTGGTTGTGAATGCATTTTTGAAGGCTCCAAGCTGGAACTCTAGTGGCACCAAGCAGGGAAGATGCTGGTGGGGGTATTTGGGTAGTTGTTGGTGAACACATGCGCACCTTATATGGGTAGGCATGGAGGAGAAATCAGCAGCCCATAGGGCTTTTGAAAGTGGTCTTATGTGAAAAGAGGCTCAGGTATGGGCACAGGAAATGACATCATCGCCTTGACAATGGATCAAACAGAACATGGAACCCTGGTATCCAGGCACCCACTTCACTGACCAAGCCATCCGAGCTCATTTGGTTGGAGACACTGGAGTGAGAAGGATGTTCTCCTGTGGTTGCAAACAATGCCGAGCCTCAGGCTCCCAGGAATCTCAGGGGGGCCCACTAGCCCTTTTGTGGATACACTGGGTGAGGCTTCATCTTAGACGCCAGAGCCTCTGGCGATTGTCGCAGAGGAGCTCAAGAGTAACAGTGAGTAGCACAGGGCAGGGGAGCCCAGCAGGCCCTCTAGTCTGATCCCTGATGAATGGCCCAGGACTCCTATTCTGACTGCATGCGTGCGTGTGTGTGTGTGTGTGTGTATGTTTGTACTGATGGTAACTGTCCCATTGTGCTTTGACTCTAGTGTATTGGCACAAGGCATTTTTCTGTTTGTCACCATTTCCATTTTGAACCCACCATTCTTGGTCCCAACCCAGGGTGAAAATGATCAGAACACGGAGGAGCCCTTCAGGGTACAGAGCCTTGAATCTTACAGGCAGGACCAGCTTAGGAATGAGCTCCTGCCTGACATTTGTGGGAGGAACCTACATTTCAGCAGCAACATGGGGTTAATCTCCTGGGATTTCATCCCCACCCAGCAGGTGCTGGATCTCTTGTTCCCAAGGTAAGCACCAGACCACGAAGCCCAAGTGTGTAGTCCCCTCATGCCTGGGTCTTGGGGCTGCCATGTACCTCTCAGGGACCCAAAGGTTTGTGATACCTAGTGAGATAGAGGACCACGCTCATAGTGGAATGTCAGCCCCGAGTGGGATGAGTCCTGGAGGTGCCTGCCACAGCCTTGAAAGGGGAGTGAACTCCCCCCTCTCAGGCAGAGAAACCATCCTGACTCCAGCTGATCCACAGAGGTCCGTGGAGCAGTCCCCACACACTGGGCACCACAGCTCAAAGGTATGCACTGAGCTCATTCCCAGGTGGACTCAGTGAGGCCAGATGGTCTTTCTGGTGTGATGTTGGCTTCTTGAAGAAAGTAGATCTGTGCCAGAGGCGTCTCAAAACTCGGGCCTTGGGCAAAGCACTTTTGGGTTAATAAAGACATGTTAGTTTCCATAGTGGGCCAGAGCTTCCTAGCTGGGACATAGCTGGACGGGGGCTTTGGAGACGGCAGCTCCCACAACCAGAGAGATATGTGGGAATCAGCAATTTGGGCTCATTCACTGATGAACAAGGAGAAAACACCCACTGTGTAAAGACACGTTTCCAGTCACGTTTCATAATTCAGTGAAAAATGGGGTGCAAATGACTGCCATTGTGTCCCTTTTCATGGGGGTCAGCCTGAAACCGCAGGTGCCATGAGTACATATTCTACATGTGACAGCATCCCTGACTCCATGAGGCATAACTGCACGTTATCCTCTTCAGTGAACATGGTGGACCCTGGACCAACTTCAACATGGAATGGACTTGGGGTCAAGAGGGTGCTCTCCTGTTTCCAGAATAGGGACTTGCAAGGTGATTTGAATTGGGAAGGCTGAGGAAAGACTGTTCTCCCCAATTCTGTTTCCTGCATGCAGTGTAAGGTCCGGGGCTTCAACAGTAGGAGGGGTAAGGCAGGGAGTTGTAGGTAGTCATGGTCCTCTGGGGAAGGCCCTGGGACGATGGATCCCCCCACACTACACCTCCCAGTCCTCCCCCAGGGCCACAGAGATGTGCTCTGCACTCATGGGAAAAGAGAGGTCCGTTGCTACTCAGGGGGACTCAGTGAGAGCTCACAGAGAATGAGGTAGCATTGCAGCCCACGCCAGGGGAGGAGGTGTCTCTGGAGCCCTGAGAAGAGTGGGCAGGAGGACAGACACTCCTGGAAGGTGCATTCCAGGTTGGAGAGCACGTAGCCAAGAGGAAGAAGAGTGTCAGGCCTTCCCAGAGGAGGGGAGAGCTGGTCATACCATGGATCTAGTGCTCCTTCGTTGAAGGTTCTTTGCCTCGCGACCTGTCCTGTCCCTGCCTGTACAGCCACTGTGACTTGTCTGAGGTGGACTGGTGTGTTCAGAACCAGGGAAGGTTCAGGAGTGTAGCATCAGAGGTTTGCTTTGGAGGCCGTGGCGAAGGCAAGGCCAGGGTTTTGCTGACTCCCCTCCTGCCTCCCCACAGTGCCTCACCTTCCTTCCCGGGGACCTGGGTGGACTTCTACACCGAGGCTTCCCATTAGCCTCCAGGCTCTCTGAGTCTGCAGCTGCTGCTGCCATCCATGTGGCTCCTTCTGGGTAGCTTGAACCTGCAGCAACAAGCACACCACCTGCTGGCCCAGACTGAAGATGGCAAATCAAGCCAGGCAGAGCCTGAGAGCCAGGCGGACTGGGGTGAGTGCCTAAGGGTATATGAGGAGAGGTCCGACTGTTGTCCCACTGCGGGGAGTCTGTATGCGTGGTGTTGGGCTGGAAATTAGAATAAGCCTTTGTCCACTCAGGAAGTGACCCCAGTCTGCAAAGAGGTCCTGTGTGGGCTAAGGGCCTGAGTTCTTCCTGGCAGCAGGGGTATTGTCTGTCTGTGCGAAGGTCAGGGCAAGGCAGTCATGTTGGCATCTTTTCTCCTCTAGCTACAAGCTCAGTTCCTGTCATGGCTCCTAAGCCAACACCAGAGCCAGAGCCTTCTCCCTGGGAAGGGGCAGAGCCAGAGTCCAGGACATCAGGGGTCTCCACTAGGAACTCCTCACGGCCCCAGTACAACAAGCGGGTGGGAGGCAGCTGCCTCATTCACGTCTACCTGGAAAACGAAAGGACAACAAAGTATAAGAGCATCCTGGTGAGTCTTCAAGCAGGGGAGTCTCCTGGGAGCCCACACTGGGGAAGACCGAGTCCACAGCAAACACCTTGGACTAGGCCTGTCTTCTTGAATTGGAGCTTCTGAAAGGTCAGGAAGGAGAGCAGAAAATGAGGAAGAGAGAGTTCGGTGTTAAGAGCTTGACCTGAGAGGCGGGGAGCAGCAGCATGCCAGGACTGGGTGGGAGTGGGCCTGCATGTTTTGGGGTGTGCAGGCCAGAAGTACAGGATCGAGTGCTGGGTTCAGAGGAGGTCAGAGAACTATCGAGGGTACAGGCCGTCCTCTACTGACCTTGGTATTGAGGAGGAGTATATTGAACAGTGGAGGTTGAAGCAGAGGAGTTGGCAGTCATTTTCTTGTGTGTGGGAGGTGATATGTTGCTGGTTGAAGGGAAGGGAGCCATTGTGGGATGATTAGGGTGGGTAGGTGTGGGTCACAGACAACTGGGGGCCTTGGAGGGGTCCATTAGTGTCCTAGTTTGCATGTATGTGAATAGAGAGTTAGCGGCTCTCTCTGCAGAATTTTCCTGGGTGTGGAGTATCCATCATGAGACTCTGGTGTCCAGCTACAGGGGAGCCATGTTGAACCACCTCACCTGCTGGGTCCATACCTCCTGACACCCCAGCAAGCACTGACACTCTTGAGGCCAGCAGCTTCCATGCCTATCATTAAAGAGTCCTGAGTGTGTGTTGTGCCCTGGCTGTCAGGACCAAAGCACCTAGGGATTGTTCCTGATCTGCACACAAATGCTGCTGCATCCCAGACCAGAGCAGGGATATGGAAGCTCACTGGACCATACCTCCCATCTTGATGGGACTAGAGTGTGTCTGTGCAAAGCCTGTTTGGTCCTTGTTCCCTTCTCCCTGTAGGGCATAGCAGGTTCAAGCAAACTCTTGTACCAAGATTTGGCTAGAAGCACATAGGAAGACCCCACATGATCACATGAAGGCCTCAGGTAGCAGGGTAACAAGATGGTGCCCTTGTGTTGAGAGCTCAGTTGTCTCTGATTGTCCTTGAGCACTGTCCTCTGGGTAGCTACTCCCAAATTCCCTCTCTGATGATCTTTCTCCAACCCTGCTCAGGTGACCTGCCAGGACAGGGTTCCAGTCATTATCCGCAGGGCCCTAGATGCACACTTGCTCCAGCAGGAGGATCCAGAAAACTTTGAGCTTCTGCAAATTGTCTCGAACCATCAGAGTAAGTGGAACAATCAGAGGGTAGGGAGCAGTGAGTCACAGTGGGCTCAGGATAACTGGGAGCCAAAACACAGTGTGCATTGGCCCAATGCCCAGGAAGAGTATGGTGGGACTTGTGCACGAAACAAAGTGTAATGATGGGGCATAAATCTGCAGGTTCTTCATGTTCCCCAGGGGCTGTGGACCTGCCTACCATGTGTTCAAAGAGAGGCTCCTTTGTCTTGTGTCAAAGAAGACAGACAACCACAGGGTGCCTACTTTGGCAGCCTTTCCTGACTGAGATGAGTACATGAGAAAAGCAGTTCAATGAAGAATCATTTCTGGCTTCCAATCTTTCTATTCATTGCAAACTGAGTCCACTTAGGACCAGAGGCCATTTCTAGAGAGAAGCGTGTGGTAGAATAGAACCCTTCACAGCTTGTAAACTCTTCTTGGAAAGAGAGAGAGAGAGAGAGAGAGAGAGAGAGAGAGAGAGAGAGAGAGAGAAAAGAAGAAGAAGAAGGAGGAGGAGGAGGAGGAGGAGGAGGAGGAGGAGGAGGATTAAGAGGAGGAAGAGGAGGAGGAGAAGGAGAAGAAGAAGAAGATGGCGGAGGAGGAGGAGGAAGAGGAAGAAGAGGAGGAAGAGGAGGAGGAGAAGGAGGAATAGAAAAATGAAATGAAAATGAGTTGAAGGAGGAGACAATGAACAAGGAGGTCAAGATGACTATAAGAAGAAGCATGAGGAGAAAATGAAGAAGGACAAGAACAAGAAGGAGAAACACAAGCCAAACAACTAATATAACAATAAATCAATTAAAAATGTGAATGAGAATTATACTGATGAGGAGGAAATGCAGAAGTGGGGACCTCAAGAGAAACATATTTCTCTGTATGGCACAGCCCTGCTGTGGACATCCTCCACCCACGCCTAACACACCTCCAAACCATACCCCTCAAATTAGCATAGCCCTGTATGAGTGGATGAATCCACTGGCAAGGTGGAGGCACCCACCTTCAAATGCTTTTCCCCAAACCCACCTGTGATCATTGCTGCAGTGGGGAGAAAACCTTCAACACATGATCTTTGGGGGCCAATCCAGATGCAAAGTCTAGCTGTTTCTCTTTGGCAGGTTAACGTGAACTGAGAGGTTCTGGGGTGCAAGGGGCTATTTCCTTGAAAGGTGTTCCTGTAGTGGACCTCCTGTGCACAGAGGGTCCTCAGGGAGGAATCAGTGGGGAGTCTTTTGTGGAACAGTAGCTGGATTTGCAGGCTCTCAGGTCTGTGTGTGAGACCTGAGCTGGCAGAGGCTCTCAGTTGTGGGGGATGTTGGGTAGTGTCTTCCTTGAGTGTCACCTACCATGCCTCTGCCCCTGCCTCTCCAGAGCTGAGGATCCCTGCTGATGGGAAACGTATATTATGCCCTGGATGGCAGAGTGGATTATAACTTTCTTCTTCGGGAAACAGCTGCCAGCAAGTGGTTCAAGGTCAAGCCAAAGGAGGTAAACAGCCACCTTCTTCAGTCTTTACTCCTGGTGCCACTCCACATCCTCCAAGGTGACAAGAACCTCAGGTTCTGGATGGATGTTGTAGAACGCCCATAGAGCCAACTGCCAGGCTGGGTGGGGTTCAGTTGCTAGGCTTTGCTGATGTTGTCATCCCCCACAGTTCTTGGAGCCTTCTATGGCAGTGGCATCCAGGATCCCAGCAGCTGTGAGCAGCAGCTCTGCAGTGGCTGCAGGACCATTGCCCCAGGCCACCCAAAGCAATGAGTGCTGCATGAGAAAAGTCACCAGTAGCAGCTCCTCACTGCTTCACTCCAGCGAGCAGGTGGAAGACAGCCGCTTGGTTCACGTCCTCCTAGAGGGACAGAGCCAGAGGGACACAAAGCGCATCCTGGTAAGCCCGACAGCAGGGCTGCCTCCTGGGTGTCCACACAGTGGAAGGCAGGAGACACAGCCAACCCCGGGGCAGTCAGGACCAAAATTTTCAGTGTATCTCCCTCTTCCACCCACAAAGGCAGCCTGCATCCCAGAGCACACTTGGCACGCAGGTCCCTGGCCCATTGCTCTCATCTCAGTGAGATGAGAGTGTGTCTGTGTATAGGCAGTTTGGTCCTTTGACCTGAGTGGAATGTGACTCCCCAGGGGGAGGGGAGATGGCAGGTACAGGCGGACATTTGTACCAAGATTGTTCTAGTAGCACGTTGCAAGAACCCAGGGGGTATATGGAGGCCACACTCAGGTAGCAGGATAACAAGATTGTGCCCTTGTATATATAGCTGAGATTTCTCCTGAATGTTTGACCAGAATCTTATGGGTAGCTCCTCTAAAACCCATTCTCTGATGACATTTGTCCCACCCTGATCCAGGTGACCTGTCAGGAGAGGGTGACGAGCCTCATCCGCAGGGCCTTGGACCAAAATTTGTTGCAGCATGAGGATGTGGACAACTTTGAGCTGCTGAGAATGATGTCTCTGCATGAGAGTAAGTAGGACAATCAGACAGTGGGGAGAAATGATCCACAGTGGGCTCAGGATAACTCACAGCCAAGAGAAAATGGGCCTTGGCCCCAAAATAGCCAGAGTGTGGTGGGCCTGGTGCAGGAAACCAACCGCAATGATGGGCATGTCCAATGTGGAGGTGCTCAATGAGGCCCCAGGGGGCTGCTGGACCTCCCTAAATGTGTTCTCCCCTGGACCTGGTCTGGCAATGCAAAGCTAATATCGATGAGGGGCAAGGAAGAGAGAGGCTCAATTGATCATCAGTTTGGTTTATGGCTCACTGATAAGGATGCCTTCAAATGAAGAGGAGGAGAACATGGGTCCTGATTGGATCAGCATTGCTATGGACGGAAGCAGCACAGGTCCCAATCCATAGCCAGGATATGAGAAGTCCTGCCTACTCACAAGAATGTCAGGATTGCAGCAACTGGGAACAGAACTCAGTGAAGAGGAAGTCAAGGCCAGGGGACACCTGTTTGGGTTCTTTTTGGAACAATTCCAAGTCCTCTGTGCCTGGGTTACCATCTCCTGAAGATATCAGAATGGCCAGGTTATTATTCCTTCCAGCAACTAAGAAGGGCATCTGAAGAACATAGGCCACAATGCTGAGCTGTCCACAATGCAGTGCTCTTTCCTTTCTTGTGAGCCAGACACTCCTAGCCTCCACCATCCCAGCCTGTCCACAATAGAACCCACCATCTGTCGGGCATGTAAGTGAGTTTTCTCATTTTCAAACACCACCTCATTTGGGTTGGCTCTGTCTTACACATGAGGAAGACTGAGGTGCAAGGAGCTAGCAAGGGGGCAGTGTCTGTGAATCTCAGGGACTTGGGAGGCTGCGCAGGAGGATGGGGATTTCCTAACAGCCTCAGAAACTTAGGGAGACCCTGCACCCAAGTAAAAAGGCCTGGGAATGGTCTCAGTGCTTAAGTGCCTCTGGTTTTATCCCTGGTACAAAAATAAGCCAGTCAATAAGGAATTACCAAACTGAGATTCTACGAAGGTGATTTCAGAAACACACTTTCAACCCAAGCATCAGTTGAGAGCAGCTCCAGACCAGGGGAGGTTTGTGTGTAACAGACATCAAAAGTGAGGACTACCGGGGGCCTGGAACCCACTAGGTGTGATGGCATCTATGCCTTATGGCAGGAGGGTGGCAGTGATGCTGGCCCTCTCCTAGATTTTGAAAACCTTGTTTTCATTGGGGAAGCTTTTTGGAGGGGGAATCTATTTTAGCAATCCTGGTCCAGATGAGGTGTTGACTACCACAGGTAGAAGCCTATCCAGAATGCGGTGTCTGTTATTCAGTCTTTCCTGACTGTGACAATGACAAAGAAAGGAAGTCACTTTTCTTTGGTCTTGGTTTCACTCCCGACCATTGATTGAGAACTGATTTCATCTTGGGGTTCTGAACCGAGGCTGCATCTGGGCAGAAGAGTGTGATAGATTTGAACTCCTCAGAGGACGCCCAACCATTGCCAGAGAAAGAAGGAGGAGGAGGAGGAGGAGGAGGAGAAAGAGGACATTCCTGAATGGGGAGAAGATCACACATTGAAGAGCAGGAGGAAGAAGAAGAAAAGGAAGGAGGTGAAACAGAAGGAAGGGTGGAGGGAGATACACAAGAAAAAGAACAAGAAGGAATCATGTAAGAACAAGAAAAAGACCCAGAAAGAACTACAAGAAGATGCAGGACAGAAAGAAGAGCCAGAAGTAGAACAAGAACCAGAATACAAGCACCAAGCAGACAGCTCATGATGAGAAACAATGGGAAGGAGAGCGAACCTAGAAAACTATAGAGTTCTCCAGGGATCACCCTGCTGAAGTCCTCCCATGTCCATGCCCAACACACCTCTGATGGATACCACCTCCCCTCCGCGTATTCATCCATAAGTGGATTCATCCAAGGATTCCCTGAATGCCCATGTCTGAGCATGGCTGCACTGTGGAGAAAGGCTTAAGCACAGGAGCCTTTGCCAATCCTGATGCAAAGCCTAGCAGTGTCTCTTTGGCAGATCTGACCTGCACTGAAAAGTTCCAGGGCCCAAGGTGCTGTTTCCATTGTCAGGTGCTCTTTTGGTTTAGAATCCTGTACATCATCTTCTCCAGGGAAGAATCATTGAGGGAGTCTTTGGTGGCACTGTAGCTGGATTGGAGGGCTCTCAATTCTGGTGCAGGCCCGCCCTGGTGGAGACTCTCAGGGGTTGGTGGTGTTTTGTGGTATAATCCTTGAGTGCCACCTAACAATTCTCTCCACTTCTCTCTGCAGAAATCAAGGTCCCTGACCACTCACTCATGTATCTGTCCATGAATCCGCGAATAAAATATCATTTCATCGTGAGGAAACTCCCCCAGGTCAAGGGAAAGGAGGTAAACTCCTACATTATTCAAGCTGTACTTGTGCTGCCATTCCACTTCCACCTGGGGAAATAAGAAGCTTCATCACCTAGACATATGTGCTAGAAGCCCATAGAGCCAACTGACAGGCTGGGTGGCTTTCTGTTTCTGGGCTTAGCTGATGTTCCATCCCCCACAGTTCTCAGAATCAACCTGCAAGTCCTCCAGGCCGCTTTCCCACAAGCTGGTGGGAGACACCTGCTTAATTCGTGTCCACTTAGAAACACAAAGTCCAAAGATGGCCAAGACTGTCCTGGTAAGCCTGGGAGCAGGGGTGTCCCCTGGTGCTTCCACCTGGGTGGGGAACAGACACTGGCCCAAGACCATGGACTACTCATGCCCTCTTGAATTTGGAGCTTCTGGATGATCAGGAGGATAGACGGGAATCAAGAAGGGAGAGGTCAGTGTGAAGGGCCGGAGCTGAGATGAGGGAGAGCAGCAGCTTGTCCACCACCATGTCTGAGGGAGTCTGTGTGTCGGGTGGAAGCATGCAGTCTGGAAGGGCAGGGGCAGGTATGGGTGACAGATGAGACTAGGACAGGACCTAGGCTGCAGGTTCCCCTGTATGGGATGCTGGCGTCCATGGAGGAGGACAGCAGTATGAGGTTCTGCATGTTCCTTGAACAAGGAGCTGACAGGGTCTGTCTGCAGAGTCGATATGGATGTAGAGCAAGCACACTAAATGTCCAGGTAACCTGCAGGACAGGAGCCCTTTCCAATGACCACCCTTGCCGGATGAGGTGTCCTCCTACACCCCAGCCAGCACTGAGCCTCTGGAGGCCAGGAGCTCTCGTGGCTATCTTTCAGCACTCCTGTGTGTGGTCATGTTCCTGGGTCTATTTTGGGCCCTGGCAATCCAGACCAAAGCCTCTAGGTTTTGTGCCGGGGCTACCCCAAATGCCGCCTGCATCCTCAGGCAGACCTGGGATCTTGGAGGCCACTGTCCCATTCCTCCCAACTTGTGGGATGAGATTCCATGTGTATACAGGTAGTGGGGTCCTTTCACCTCGAGTGGAGTGCGGCTCCACAAAGAGCAATGGCAGGTCCAGGCAGTCCTATGTACAAGGATTGGCCAGTAGCTTATGGGAAGAGCCCACGCGATGAGCAGGAGGCCAGCCTCAGGTGGTAGGGTCATGGATGTTGCCTTTGTATTTAGAGTTGAGGTGCCTCCATAATGCCTCTGCCCACTGTCCTTGAGTAGTCACTTCAAGGCCCATTTCCTGAAGGCCTGTCTCCCATGCTGCTCCAGGTGACCTGCCATGATAGGGCTCCTGTCGTCATCCGCAGGGCCCTCGAGCTACACTTGCTTACTCAGGTCCTGTCCTAGTCTCAGGAATATGAGCTGGGCCAAATCATCTCTCACCGTCAGAGTAAGTGGGACAATCAGATGGCAGGGAGCAAGGGTCAGGATGTGGACTCAGGTCAACTCTTAGCACCAAAGAGTAGTCTCTGACCCCCAAGAACACTCCAACAGGGTGTGTTGGGGCTCGTGCACAAAGCCAACTGCACTTCTGCAGGTGTAAGGTCTCGAGGTTCTATGGTATACCCCAGTGGCTATTGCGGCCCCCCACCAGGTGCCCTCCTCTGGACATGAACAGGCATCCAAAGCTGACATCATTGAGGAGTGAGGAGGAAAGCCTCTTCCCAGGAGCCGTATGGCTCCGTGGTCTGGGATAGGAGTGGTTTCAGAGGGACATGGGAATGCATGGGCTAAAGATGGAACTGGCACTTTTGTGGACTGTACAATTGAAAGCCTTCTTTGTGACCAGAAAACCACTGCCTGGGCAGAGTAGTGCCAGGATTCTAGCAAGCAGTAACTGGATGAAATTGGAAAGAAAATACAGGCTGGGAGACAGCCTGAATCATCTGTTTTTGGATAAATTCCATGGTCTTCCGCACCTGAGTCCACTTGCCAAGGAGTGATCACCATAGCCAGGTTAAGAACCCTAACTAAAGTCACATGAGGGCTTCCTGAGCACGTCGGCCACAAAGCTCATCTGATAATAATGCCAGAGCTTTTTGGTTGGTTGGTTGGTTGGTTTTTGTGAGCCAAACACCACAGCAGCCATGATCCCAGCCTATGTACGCTGAAGACCACCATCCCTATGAGTTCTAGGATCAATTTTCTCCTATCTTAACGTACTGTTAGGTCAGTAGAGCCTTTGGAAGAGGAAGTCTGTCTGAGGCCTTGGTAGCCTAAGAAATTCATAGCAGAGATCCCCGCATCCAACCCAGAAGGGATGGAGAACAGGCTGTAGGTTAGAGGAGGGTGGCAGGAAACAGGTGTCAGAGGAAGGAGAAGCTGGCTGTTGTATTCCCCCACTCGGGGTCATGGCACCACTGGACCATACACCATGTTGGAGGGAAGCATTCCCTTTGCTGGTCTTTGGAACCATTGTTCTTAGTAGGGCAGCATTTGGGATGTGGCCTCCATTCTCAGAGGCTGGTCCACATGGAGGCGGGCTCCACCAACACAGAAGCATGGCTCTAATGTGGTATCTGTGCTGGTCAGCCTGTCCTCACTGTGGCCATACTTGAGGAAAATAACTCAGAAGAGGAAGCCTAGGCCTTTTCTCCGGGTTTCATAGCTTTCTCTTCGGTTGTGCCCTGAGGGTCTCCATAACGCTCTAGTGTGTGGCAGTGGAGAGCTCCTCAGCCCTTGCCAAACAGGCATAGAATGGGAGAGAGAATGAGGCTGGGAGAGAGGAAGAAGAGGGAAAGACAGAGAGGAGAAGGAGGACCTCTACTTGGAGGATGAGGATTCAGTGGAGCCAACAGGGCCAAGGTACTATTGCCCAGGGCGCAACCCTGTTTAGGTCTTCCTCCAACCTTACCCAACCTTTCTTCCAGTCCCTCCTACCTCCCAGTAGTATGTTCATCTTGAATGAGAATTTCATGATGACATCAGAGCACTCACCATCGAATGCTTCCCTCCAAAACCACCTATGAAGATGGCCCATGTGGGGTCTGAATCTTTGGCACAGGAGCCTTTTGTGGGAGATTTCAGATGCAAACCCTAGTGGTGTGCTTTGGCAGATGCAAGAGGACCTGGGATGTTCTGGAGTCCAAAGCCTTTGGTAGGAACAGACATTAGGTCTGTTGAAGTGCTCTGCCTAGTTTTTCCTCAGGGAGGACTGTGGAGGCTGTCTTTGTTGGTATTGGTGCTGAATTGGAGAGCTCTCAAGTGTGTGGCTCAGGTCATTTCTGGCACAGGCTCTCAGATGTTGGGGTGTCCTAGGGAGCACCTCCTGAGTGCCACCTTCTTTTTGTACACCCCTCTTTCCCCAGAGCTGAGGATTCCAGCGCAGGCCAATGTATTTTATGCAAAGAACCCTCACACAAAATCCAACTTTGTGCTGAGGAAAAGGAGCCTCTCCCAAAAGAATGATGAATGGATCCAGCCTCAACCTCCCTCTCGTCCTACAAAGAAGGCTCCAGCCCTCCTGAGGATGCTTGCAAAACCATTCTACTGCTGTGTGCCTGGGCCGGGCTGAGGCAGCCCAGGAATATTTACATTGATTACTATTTGCTTCAAAGTTTGAACCTATAGTTTGCCATTGTCCTTGACCTTGTTTAGTAAGACAGTTGTTACTCTATCCTGTATTTGCTGATTCCATTAATATATTATTATTTTAAAATATATATATTTTTTTGTTACCTGATCTACTCTGATGATTTGAGTATATTAATGTAGCAGTGATTCCTAAAGGACACATCCAAACCAACAGGAAGGAATGTTTCATTCTATCAGCAAGAACTTTAGTTTTTAGGAGTATGGCAGATGGCATTATCTGAGTCAGTTTTCCAATGGGGGCAATGAAGTATTGGCTATCATGATACAAAAACAAACAAAGACACACAAACACACACTAGATCACACACACACACACACACACACACTAGAGCATACACACACACACACTAGAGCACACACACACACACATACTAGAGCACACACACTCACTGAGAGATAGATAGACAGATGGAGTTGGTCTCTCCTGAAATACTTTGGAGACGTGGTTCTGATTTCTCCCATTTTAGAGTATTTTCAATTGCATAAGGTGTCCTGCAAATGAATCCCATGTCTGAAGAAGACATGCATGTGTACTTACATGCCACTTTTCACATAACCAGAAGGTCATGTCATGTAATATTTTTCTTGCAGCTGTGTTTTGACTGTGAACCATCCCATGAGGTCAGCTGTAGAATTTTCCACTGGTAGCATCACAATGGGGATCCACTCTTTGGATTTGGGGATATTTCTGATTTTCTTGATTCAGATTGCAATGATTGATATATATATACATATGGTTTTTGATCAAAATTGTGCATTTGATGATAATGAATGCCATGCATCTAGGAATCTGTAGACTCTAGACAATGAATGAATGTCTACTGTTGCCTGGACTGGTCTGCAAAGTCCTGTAGCATTTGAGCATGTGTGAGGGCTTTATAG